TTCGCTAAATTTATAAGATAATACACATTCGGAATTTTTTAAGAAGTCCCATATAATATATTAATTAATAATGCATAAAAAGAATTCTTAAATTATATAGTACAATACATATTTTATAGATTTATGAAAGCTTAATAAAATATATTTTAATTGTCAATTCTGTCCCTCACTTTTCGTAACATGGTTAGAACTTCTGGTATGGTTTTCTCATAACTCATCATAAAATTGTTCAATGTCAGTGCTTCTTTAAGAGCTTCCGTTAGAGAAACGGGCTCTATAGTACATTGAACTAATGGTACAATGAATAATATATACCTCAAAAGATAAAAACATGTATTTGTTGTAAATAATAATAAATTTCTCAAAAAATAAATAAATTAATAATAATAATTTCATAAATTAATAAGTATTTAATTAATGTATAAATTAATAGTTATTAATTTATTGATAAATATTTCGATTGCCCCAACTGTAGCAATTTATAGATGTTTAGACAACATCATTCATTTAAATTTATTTTTGGCTTTATAAAAAAATATTTTGTACTGTCTATCCTTTTAGAAAGCCTAAACTACATTCTTCCGATTTATTATTTCTAAATTTGACCAATAAATTGATAGTGTATTTTAGTCTAAGTATATATTTTTTCTTCAAATTTAACAATGTTTATTGACTTCAAATGCATCAAACAAACGTGTTTTTTTTGGGAAAATTGCAATCACCCCCTAAGATAAAGTTAAATTAAAAAATAACCCATATTTTTTCATTAATTATAATCATGCACACCCCTCAACTATATATTGTCTTACACGTCCATCCTTACGGTGTCAAATTTACTTATTGAATGAGAGATTTTTTCGTAAAACAATACATATTTTTTCGTAATTTGATCTTACTTTAGGGCTGATCGTAATTTGATCTTACTTTAGGGCCGATCGTAATATACCATTTTTATTGTTATTTTCATTTTTTTTTAAAGTCAAACATCACTTACGTTGAGATAGAAGGTATACTTAACCACATGGACAAAACACCCATTCACATGCAAAGACCTAACCACATGATCACTCACTCACGCCACGCCCCGAGACAATAGGTATCGTGGATGTTCCTTGGAACTCCCATCGAGACGAACATGGAAGTAGATATTCTCGACCTGGAAAGACGAGAAGGCGTCGCGAGAACTTTAATGACCGTAACTTAAGGAGCTCATGACAAGAAACTTCGAGGTCAATAGCCGCTCATTTTGCAACGTTCCCTGCCTTGGTAAGCCCCTTTATTCCGGCCATTATGAAGAAGTTTTACCGCTCGAATTTATGATCCCCAATCTACCCTAGTTCGATGGAACCGAAGATCCCCAGAACACTTAAACAATTTCTTCGCCAAGATCGATCTTTATGGCCTCAACGACGCCGCCTACTGCAAAATTTTCCAAACTACGTTGACTGATCAAGCACAAACTTGGTTCAACGGCCTGTCTGGAGAATCCCTAGATGGTCTGAACCAGCTATCAGAACGGTAGCTTAGCCAATATTCCGTAAACAAGAAATACGCCAAAATTGGTTCATAACTCTTAAAAGACAAACAACGCGAAGGAGAACCGCTAAGAGATTATGTACAACGGTTCATCAAAGCTGTGCACAAGGTGCCATATGTTAACCACGACCTATTAGCCGACATACTGCAACATAATTTGAAGCATGTTTGCTTCCAAGAGTCCATCGGAGGACCTCCACAAACCCTGGAATAACTTCTGAACCGCGCCGAGAAATATATCCGGATAGAGGAGGCCGTAGAGATGGGTCTCCCCGTGAAGAGGAAACGCAAAGAAGAGCACCATGAGACAAAAATGAGAGAAGAAGGACACTCGAACCACGCCCCTACATACCCAAAGTTCACTACCCTAAAAGTAAAACTCATGGAAGTATGGAAGGTGGCGGAACATAAAGGTTTGGTCCAACCTCCACGACAGATGAAAGAAAATCCGAAAAGGCAAAAATCGGATAAATATTGCAAATACCACCGAGATCGGCGCCACACTATCGACGAATGCTTCCAACTTAAGCAAAGCAATCGAAGGACTGATTAAGAAGGGACACCTTGGCAAATTTGTGGATACCCCACGACACTCAAAATTCGAAGGTGATGCTGCTCAAATTCTAATGTATATTATCGGAATGTGTATAATAATGATGCACAATACTAACTTTTATTAATTCAACATTGTTAAATGATATTTAAAGCAAACAATTGTATTAACTAAATGCATAATTTAATTGACCTGATGGGTCCATCGGCTTCTTTCCTATGTTTCTAAGACAAAAACGATGACATGAAAGAAATAAGAAAAGTAAATAGGTTTTACCATTCAAGAAATTAAACAAAAGACATCCTTAATAAGAATCAATGTTGTTGCTCACAAGCCAAGAATTGGCAAACCCAGCATGAAGATGAATCATTGGAGCACGGTTTTTCATACATAGTGCCATCATCCCACCTCGATCTTCACATTGCTTTATCCTCGGGAGTAGGCATATACAGAATCGGAGGCAGACTCGAAGGCAGTCTCGGAGTCTGAATCGGAGCTTCATCCCACCTCGACTTACGTTTCAGTCGTCGCTCTGAAGTTGGAGTTGGAGTTGGAGTTGGAATTGGAATTGAAATTGGAATTGAAGTTGGAGTCTCATCAATTCTCCCGCCATGCTGTGACATTTCCAACTTTCTATTTCTTTTCTTTGTGTCTTTGAATATCTCAACTTCACCTGCAAACCAATCAAAACAAAAGAAATCTGGATCGGTATTAAATTACGGTCAAGTGAAAAAAAAAAAACGAAAATTCAAAATACCGAGAAGTCGAAAGCCCTAGTAAGCACCGATCAAATACGCAAATATTTCCTCTGCTAAACAATCAATTGTTTTTTTTTTCCTTTTATAAACAAATTGTTAATTTATAATTATGATTCTAGAGATCAATTAGGATTTTTTTTTCCCCTTTTTTCAAATCGGATTAATTAGGAATTTTACCTTGACTCTAAGTTGGTGCACAACAATTCTTTTTTTTTTCTTTTAGGACATTTTTTTTTCAATTTTTAATAGTTGAATTATTTGAATTTCCAATGAAAATATATTCCAAATTAATTCAAATTTTAATTAAAATATGTCGTACTCCATAATTTATCATAATTGGTAAATTTAAAAGATTAGAAAAAAAAAACATTAATATAACGAATTATATTAAAATAATTCATTGCATTCTCTTAATATTAGTTTCCGAATAGATTTTATAAGGAAATATTTTATTATTTTAGTAATCATAGAAATGTGCATCGAATAGGTTACCAAATAAGCAATATTTACAACTAATAATAATCGATTATGTGGAATAATTAATGGCACGTAGAATATGATTAGGACGCTACATAGATCTGCCATTTGTTGAATGCATGCCAAATGTTGATTTCCATAATTGAATAAATTATGGATTGAGAAAATATCTTGTTACTAATATTTACAAATTAATCATAATTAAAATAATGTCATTTATTGATTACCATTAAATGTAATATGACATTATGAAATCTATATTAAATGAAATGAAAAGGAGTAGACACAATCTATTATCAAATAATGATATTATGGAAATGATATAATCTACTATCATATTATGGAAAATTATGATTAAATAGATATTTTATATGTAATATTTAGTGATACATGACTGATGATTAGGATGCCTACGTGGATGGTGATATGGATGACACATGTCCTAATTCTAGATCATGAGGATTTCAATTTATATATTATATTGATATTGATTGCAAATAGGAGGGTAATATTCGCCACTTCAGTTTACGAGTACTATTTCGATTTAAAAATGGTAACTTACGAACACCCCTTGATGTAAAGACAAATTATGAAAGCACCTATCTAGTTTGCATAATTACATTTACCCATTGAGGTATCTGCCATTAGGGATGGCAACGAGTCGGTTCTGGGCCGGGTTTGCCTAAACTCAAGACCCGACCCACGGAAAATATATAAACCCAAGACCCGCCCCAACCCGTTATAGCGTAGACCCAGACCCGCCCCAACCCAGACCCTAAGTAAACGGTTCTGACCCGTTAGACCCGTTAACATACAAAAAGTTTAATATTTTTTTGACTTTCATAACATTTTAGCTTGTATATTTTTACGAAATAATCTCAATACTAAAATACAATATTTTAAAAAATCTCTATAAGTGATATAACATGAATATAAAATTACAATTAATTATATTTAACTTCGATAATAAGTAAAATTCAAAATGCAAGACAATTAACGGTGGTCGACAAGTGATAAATATTACTCACGAGAAATAAGATTCAAAAAATAAAACAGTGAAAATAGGTAAATGAGAATAGACAAGATGAAAATTGATAGTTTGATAAATGAAATCCGAAATTATATATATATATAGTCCTCCAAAATTTACAAATTTACCCTTGTACTATCAGTGGTGTAATTGTAAAAGTTTTATTTAATAGGAGGTGAGTTTAAGGTGTAAAGCAAAATTACAAACACATGGGGCACTTCTGTAATTTAGATATACTTTAGGGGTTTATATGTAAATTAAAAAAATATATTTTTTTTCTATTTTATTTTTATTCAAAGGCAATTAAGTCATTTTAGTGGTTCTGTTAAAATTTTTGACTGACTGCTAATTTAATGGGATAAACGTAATTTCAATAACTACAGCAGTTATATCGTAATTTGAACTTACCTCATGGTTGTACATGTATTCGAAGTTTACCCTAACAAAATTCTCTCTCTTCATCTTCTCTTTACTCTGTCTATTTTTCCCCATTTTTGGAAATAAACGCCCACAAAAGGAAGGGGCTGCACGATAAATCGAAGCTAGTGAACTCTTTTTTCGCTTCGAGGGTATCAAGATTTGTTTCATATGCATCGGAAAAATACGACGCTAAAAGAAATAATCCAAAACGACAAACAATATAATTGTATGAAAAATTCCAAAACGACAAACGACAAAATTCCAAATAATTTGCAATTTCATTTTAAAATTTACAATTTGCCTAAGATATTTTTGCCTCAAGCGAAACATTTGTATCTGAACTACATTAAATTCGTTTTTCGCTTTCTTTACAATTTTACTTTTTGTCACCATACTGCATTGCGTCGTACCAAAACGACCACTACCGGTTGTTATAACTGAATTGAAAAACTCAAGTTCGTAAGTCGGAACTAAAATTACGATCGTCATGAATATTAAAAATCAGTGAGACGACGCATTTTCAGACAGCTTATCTCTGAGATGCTTAAGAGCATCTACTACTTCAGAATCAAGATTGTGCTTCAACAATTTACCCTGCATGGAAGTAGATCTGTACAAACAAATAATTAAACCCTTCAATTTATTCAATAGTACCCCAAAAATATAGTCGTACGAAATAAATTATGTTAGTTTGAAAAATACGTGTATCTGAAATTCAAACCCAAAACCTTTTTCGATTGTCCTCCCATTTGTGAGTAGAAAATTTTTTGAGTGAGATTTAGTTATTTTTCAAAATACAAATTAGAAATATTCGAATTTGATTAACGGAAATCTCGTGATGGGATCTTAAAAACAAAAACAAAAAATGATTTTTTTTTTCATGAATTTACCATTTGAAATTAAGAGTGAAAACATCTAAAATACCTATGTTCTCGAAGCATCTCCTCGACTTCTTTTTGTGAAGCTTTGATCTGCATTTTACAGTCACAGCATCAGAAAAAGAATGGGAGATAACAGATCTAAAACAACTAGGACAGATTTAATCTCCAAAATTTCCGAATCCCCCCGATTCCGATCTGAAATTTTCCGATTTTGGAACAATAATTTTCATTCCGAATTCCGAAATTCCAATTTGCAATTTTTCCGACATTTGTTTTGGATTGGAATTGGAATAAATATGAGATTCCATTTTTTTCCAAAATTTACACTTAAAATATCGAAAATATTATGCATTTTGTATTTTAAATGACTAAAAACTGCAATCATCTAAATCCAACGATTCCGATCCAAAAATTTCCGATTTTGGAACACGTTTTTTAATTCCAATTTCCAAAATCTCAATTTCTGATTTTTCAGATATTTTTTGAAACGAAATTCGAATTAGTTTTTCACTTCTGAAAAAAATTGGAATATTTTCTGATTCCACATAACTTTGGAATTTCTAACAATCAACAAGACTCCATCTTTATTTAAATTTTGTAATAATCACTACGAGACTCTATAAAAGACACCAAACTCATCAGAAAATTGCTCGATACTACGCATTCCGAGTTGTAGATATAAATCAATACAAATAGTATATAGCATAGTTTTTCTAAATAATACTTACCTCAGATACCAATGCCTTTGAACTCCAGATAAAAGCTCCCTGCAAATAATTTAAATAACGAAATATTGACTGAAAAAATTGGTTATTGCCACACACACCATTAAATGAACCCATACTTCTCAATGGGGACTATAACACATCTCAATTTAATTCGGCGGAAAAAATAAAATAAAATCAAGAATTGTAATTAGGGTTTACATACTGCTCCATAAGCTGCATGCTGTTGACAGTGATCGGATGTCACAACCCATACTTTTGGACAGCCATCGCCCCTCAAAGCGGCCACCTAATTAAAAAAAAAAGAAAAAAAAATATTACATCATATTTCAACAGCAAATAAACACAATATCCGTCGAAGAATTACTTTCAAGTAAAAAAATGTTTTGAGTCTCAATAACTATGGTTGACATTACAAATTTTTAATTATTTTATTGATAAAAAATTGAGTTTCAATATAAAGAATTTAGAATCTAGTAAGTTTATTAGAAGCTCGATTATTTTTCTCACCTCTTTCTCAATCCATGCGTCAGCACAGGTTTCACCCGAGTATATTATATCAATACTGCATCAATTTAGATAGCTGATATTGTTAACAGAAATGCACTAAGTACCGATATGAATTCATTAAGACACAAAACAACATTTGAATGACGAATTACGAGTAGAATTCAAATTCCTAAAATAAATCATAACTTTTTTACGTGTAACGAAAATGTCGGAACTTCAGACAATTTCAAGCTCTATGTGAGCTGTCCAAAGGTAAAGTTTTGCAAATACTGTTAAAAAGTGATAATTAAAAGTATAATTTAAACAACGTCGAATTTATCTAACGCTCACGAGAATACATAACAAAAATCGATAAAACAACCACCTGCTACCAAAAATAAAGGTTATATGCGACTACAATATCTCAAACAAGCTGTTTTTTTCGATTCCAATATAACTGAAATATATATATATATATATATATATATATATATATATATATATATATATATATATATATATATATATATATATATATATATATATATTTCAAGAAAATTAAGGATGTAAATAATTTAGGTTAACTAAAGGAGTACCCAGAAAAATCTTCTTTATGTGTTGGTAGTCCAGACATCATAGCATCAAATACAACCACCACTTTCACCTCTGTACATGGAATAGCGCATCAGATAATGAAAAATAAATAATCGAGCCTACTATATTATACGCACATATCATTTTATTCGTCGAATATTTATCACAAGTCCCCACATAATTGATCCAAATATATTTAACGCACAATCTTGAGTCCTAGTATTGCTAAATGTAAAGCTCCTTTCAGCCACTAACCCGTAGATTGAGCTATTGCGGGTGTTATAAAAATACGTAGATTTATTAAAAGGGGAAAAATGGATAGATACAGAATTTTGTGTTTTCTGTATATATAGCACGATTCATAAATTGTAGTTAAGAAATGATTTGAAGCACAAACCTCTTAGCACACTAAACTCAATGAGTTCCTCTATAAGCTTTTGGCGAGCAATATCGAGTCTGCCACTCATGAAATGCTTCTTCAATTTCGCCCAATAGCCACATACATTATAACCATCGACAAGCAATACGGGAATTGCAGTCTCTATACCCTGGTTAGTACTGTTAAAAAGAAAAAACTCAAGAACATAAGTTAATCTTGATTAAACGGTTTCAATCGAACACTCGAAATGGAAAAAAAAAGATTTACTAGTAAAGGGTCAATGTAGGGTCTCGATAAAGCTCTGAGTCGTCTGGCATTTCATCCTTCTCTACCCTCTTTCTCCGGTAACTAGTAGTAGGCCTCGCCGTGTTTGAGTTTGATTTTCTCGTTTGGAACTCCTATTAAATTTAAATAACGAGTTAAGAAACTTAGAATATAACAGATAATTTCTTTATTTTATTTTTAAGGATTTCTGCCGAAATGCAAACCTTCCATAATTTCAAGAACTGTAAATTCTGCTTCACATTTGACGTAATTCTCGGAGGTGGTGGCTCCGAACCCTACAAAACAGAACCTTCACTCATCAAAATCGAAAAGTCATCCACATAAGAAAATACTGAACCCCATCAAAGAAAGCTCGGTCCACATAAGCATTCTCTTTCCATCGAAATACATACAATGGAATATAACGTAAATCCTGTCAATTTATTTGTACAGATAAACTAAAAGAAAATCAAATTAAATCCACCAATCGAACAACGTCTTTAAATGGGAGACATTGTCAAGTAACAACTCTTACACAAACTCACCTTCTTCTCCAATCGATCGTCGAGTCTATTAACTTACGAAAGTTCACAAATGCAATCAATTCAGACATGGAAACCAATCAATTAAAATAGTATAACAAATTAATACTCAACGGCCTTGTTTGGGAATAAGGATAGACTATATAATCAAGCATTTTAAAAATTGGTTCGGGAATTTAATCAAACACTTGAAGTACATGAATGATATTGAGTCCAACCTCAACCCCTATTATAACAAACATAAGATAATCCTATCCTATCCCATCCTATCCGATTCAATTAATCTTATCAAAAGGAAGAAAGATAAGATTAAAAAAAACCTGATGAGAAGGTGTTTGAGGTGTCTTAATCTTCTTGGCGACAATCTTGGAAGCATAACTGTAGGAACTGTAGGATAATGCCAGAGCAGACGATGACGATGAGATTGTTGATATTATGGGTGTCATCGATCAATCTTGTTGGTCTCGCATTTCTTACAATCATTCATCTTCTTCGTACGTTTGTCAAGAACATACCTTTGTGCAGAGGGTGAATAAACGAATTTCAGTTCATGGGTTTCTCATATTTGCCACTGAGTTAACACCGATTTCTTTGAATTGTGTATAAATGGTGGTGTTCAGTGGCTATTTTTATTAAAAAAAATTGTGGGTGGATGGTGTTTGATTGTTCGAGGGCGTGTCGCGCAATAGACCACCCGTTAGCCACTTGCACTTCTATTGCAAGTTATTAATAATACGTTTTATTTTTTGTCTAAGAAAATTTTATTTTAGGATAAATTACTGGAAGTTCTGATGTAAGGTTAAATAACGAATAAATCCATTTGTTTTGGATAATTACAATCACTATTTTCAATTATTAGTCTTTTTACACGTCAATCATAGGGCGTCGAATTTAATATAATTTTATACATTACGTGGAATGTTCTCTATTTTGTACTCATTTTATATAAAAATGCAGTTTTTGATCCACTGCAATCTGATATTTACAAGCCAAGAGACACATCTTATGATTATCTTGCTTCAAAATATGGAGCTCGAAAGGAGTAAAAATGGTACAAACTTGAGAATATTTCACATAATCTACAAGATTCTACTAAAATTGATACTGCAAAGGTGAACGTGTAAGAATGATTTATAGTTAACATGGGTGATTGTAATTACCAAACATAAGGACCACCGTTGTATAACCATATATATTGTAAATATGAGAGGTGTATTCTTAATTTGACCTTACACCAGGGATGATCATAATTTACCCTTTTATTTTATGATAATATATGGTAATAATATTGAGTTATTAGCACATATCCCAATGTTATTTCGAAAGTGCACAAAACGTCATGTGATAAATAAAATTAGCACATACCCCTTATATATTGTATTTTATATTGCACACCGCTCCTTACATCAAAATTATCACTTGACTTAGATGAAAACACGAAATTAACACTATCTATTTTTAATAGTATTCAAACTTAAGAAATAAAACAAATATCAACAAACCAGATAAAAGATAAGGAAATCGCAAAAGAGTGCCCCGCCAATTTTATTTACTTTTGTAGCATGTTCGTTCATCTATCTTGAGTCAAAGATTTTTGTGATGAGTAGTTGTTACTGCTGAAGGAGGTGGATGAGGGTGGCGATGACGATATTTTGAAGGTGGAAATGAAAGCCCTGATCTTGATGTTGAAGAGGGCCTTTTTGATAATATGAAGGACTGAATTGAAAATATCAAAAACTTCATTTGAGTATTTTCATGTGAAAACACACACTCCCAATTGTACATAAGACGAGTATAGTGTACGAATGGCCTTTGCCTCTTTGCTAAAAAAATTAACATGAGTTTTTTGGCAATTAGAGATTATAAAAGAACGGTAAGTGCTAATACTGGTAATGATATGCAAAAGTGATTAATCCAAACTCTTTTCTCTATCCAAACCCACCAAAACTTCCAAAACTCACACGAATCCTCTCAACTCATCTCAAATCCCAAAATCATTTCAAAATTTAAAGTAATTTCAACTATAAATTAGTTATATGTCAATTTTTTGTTGTTTATTTCATCAATTACATGTTAAAAATCCCAAAAATTCGATCTCTAGTTTTTTTTTTATCTGACTTGCGCGAAACCTATGCCCAGAAAGGACGTGCTAAATGTTTTCACGCCCAAATTGGGTGTCAAAAAGCATTTTGCACGTCCATTTTGGGCGTAGGTTTGTGAGCCCTCTTTTTGAAACTTCAACAACGAAAACTAATAATTTTACATCCGATGCACTAAATTTTGTTTCTAAATCACTTCAACGAGACGGGTTTTGGGCTAATTTAAGATTTTTTTGGGATTGAGAGGTTATTTTTCTAGTGATATAAAGTGAGAGTGAACGGTATTCGTAAATATTGAACTGTTATTGTCAAGTTCCATTCAAAAGCAGCACAATCCTTACATGATGGTTGCAAGATAGACCCAAATATCTATTCTAATGACAAGTCTAGAAAATACCATCAAACTAGCTAAAAACACATGTTCTGAGAGCATCTCCAACCATTGGGTTAGAGCTGCTATATGCTAAAAAATCAGAAATTTAGCATTTGTGAACTAAAAAACCATCTCCAACGGAGATGTTAAAATTTTGCTGCCAATGTAAAACTAATCACCCAAGAGCTATATATACCATTTACTGTTCAGGAAAGCTAAATGAAGAAATATTAAAATAATAAATAAAAAGTACTATCCCATTCACAAAGCACACGTCTGACTTTGTGTATTTGATTTTTTTTTTTTCCTTTTGGTTCCAGAGACTTCTTTCCACTTAGGTTTTAATTTATTTATTTAGGTAATTTTATTCAATTTTTTGTTTATAAAAGACATGTTCCATAAATCTAATTTTGGTATATTAGGTTTAATTATCTTTTTATGATTTTTCAATGTTTGATTCATTTATTAAATTTATAAAATATATTATTATTAATAAATTAATTACTATTTATTTTAAATAATCAATTCATAAAATAATTACAAAGATATAAAATCAAATCAAATTATAAATACAATATATAACAAACACTACTTACAAATATCAATTCATAAAATAATTGAAAATTAATAAAATATAATAAAATGCTAAATTTTAAATGATATGATTGGAGTAGGATAGTAAAAAGCAGTGTTCTAAAAATCGGCCGAGGCGGCCGATTAATCGGTCTCCGAGGCGGAGGCGGTCCAAAACCTTTACGATTTTAGTGTAAAGGTTTGAAAAATCGGTTTTTTGCCTGTGAGGCGGTTTTAGGCGGTCTGAGTCGGTTCGAGGCGGTCTGAGGCGGTCAAACCTTTAAGGTGGGTCAAATTCGGTGGCAAAAATCGGTTAAAAATCGGTTTTTTTTCTTCTTTTTATAATTCAAAATAAAAGTTGGATTTTAATAAAAGAAAATATGAGTTTATGCCTTATTTTGTTTATGTTAATTGTTATTGTTAAAGAACTAATGATGTATGCCACGAATGTTCAAGAATAAATGTAAATTCAACAAAATTGTTTTTTTATTTATATTTTATAAGGATATTTATGTATTATGATCTTATGATTATTAAACTTTTATTATGTTATTAGGATATATACATAATGGAGATATAACTATGTTTAAATATCTTTTTATATATGTTTGGAGTATTTATAAATAATATTTAGAAATATATTATATTAAATTTTAAAAACCGATTTATTTCCGATTTATCACCGATTAATCACCGCCGCGCCGATTAATCGTGAGTCGGTGACTGACTGACTCGGATCCGATTACCGATTTTTACAACCTTGGTAAAAAGTGAGGTGGTATAACACTATTCACTAGCTATTATAGATATAGCATCTCCATTTTTAGCTCTTCACCTTGGAGATGCCCTAACACAACACAGTATAGCTAAAACTAACCCAACCTACGGTGTGTACACATGACATGAGTAAATCACACTTTGCATCAGCATTTGTGCCAACAATTGGGCAAGCTCATATTTGTGATCACTTGGTTGATTTGTTCTAATACTTCAACACACTAATTCAAAAAAATAGAACGTCTCTTGTATGGTTTTCAAGTTATTATACGGGAGTGTAAGTTTATCCAGTGCATTTATATGGTTGGCTGTCGATTCCTTCATTACCAATAATACTTTTCATAGGAGGGGAGGTATGCTCTTATTTATAATCTTCTCATCCGGACACCTCCTTAAAACCAGAACAAGCGTATACTTGTTGCCGATTCCGTCGCCCTCTTTACCAACTTTCTGCCATCCTCAAAGCGGTCCAGGTCATCATTCCCAACCAATCTAATCAGGCGTTCGCCGCTCGTATGCCTACTATTTCCATAGGTGCTTCACCTTTTTCGGTTGTCGACAGTCATTCGAGCATTAAATGTTGGTGTCAGCACATTTAATGAGCCGAGCCGACGAGTGCAACAAGGATACATTAATTCGCCCCCATATATGTAGAACATAATCACTATAACACCCCTCCGAGTGCCGCATATCCACTCGGCTCTCGATGGCGTGCTTTCTTCCTTCGGACAAGCCATTTTCTCGACCGTGTCCCTCCGGTGGGTCTTAGTGGGCTAGTAAGTGGCCTTTGCTTCATGGACTCCGGATCCAGATTCCAATTCCCCTAGAAAAGAAAAAAATTGAGAAAAAAAAAAAATCAAAATTTTTAAAATTTATTGTGAAGTCCAAACGAAAAATACTATTCTCTAATTAGTAATTACACTTAATCGAAATATAATGTATCGATATTTCCCATTTCCTCAAGAACATCCACTCCGGTGTCGAACACTATATAATAAATCTATATATCTACAGAGCTAATTATGTTTTTCATTTATACATCACTGCATCTCAATTAAGCGGAAAATGGCAGACCAATCAGCAACCGCCGCCGCCGCCAAGAAGCCGGTGTGCGTCACCGGAGCCAACGGCTTCATAGGCTCATGGATAGTGAAAACCCTCCTTGAGAACGGCTACACCACCATCCACCTCTCCGTATTCCCCGGCTCCGACCCATCCCACCTCTTCTCCCTCCCCGCCGCCGCCGCCGCCAGCCTGGTCGTGCACCAGGTCGACCTCCTCGACGCCGCCGCCGTCGACAGGGCCGTGGAGGGGTGCGCCGGAGGTGGGGTCTTCCACGTGGCGTCGCCGTGCACGCTCGACGATCCCGTGGACCCACAGGCGGAGCTGGTGGACCCCGCCGTGAAGGGCACCCTGAACGTGCTCGCCGCCGCGAAGAAATTCGGCGTGCGGCGCGTGGTGCTCACTTCATCGATCTCGGCCATGGTGCCCAACCCTGGGTGGACACGTGGCAAGGTGTTTGATGAGTCTTCCTGGACCGATCTCGACTACTGCACATCGCGTCAGGTTTCTCTCTCTCAATTTTAATTTTTTTTTTAAATTCCAATTTTTTATTTGGTTGGATCAAATTTAATTAGGAAATTCGATTTAGATTCGATTTGGATAATTTTATTTATTTATTTGAATAATTCTTAGAAATCAAGCACGTGTTAGAATTTTCTTGTGAATGACTGATATTCTAGCATAACTTAAGGCAATGAAACTTATTACCTATGAAATCTACTTTTGTTGTTGATCGAAGATCGTACGTGTTCCGAATTCTTGATTTTCGATGTAATGTTACTATATATACTTTAGGGTGCATTGAAAACAAAATTGCCGTAAAAAGCACTAGAAAAATCGATAACAACGAATCGTCATATTCAATTCTTAGCTTTGTTCAATGTGAAACGACCCCGTTATCAAGTTTCGGCGGCCTTTTTAATTTTCTAGCATTCACTAGCTTTACTTCATGTCTCGGAAACTCGTATTACCATGTCTAGTACTTATGTGGTGACTACATTTACGAGCTAAACGAATTGAAGTAGTTAGTGGAGTAAATGCGAAAAAACGTACTCAAAGAACCTCTAGAGTATATTCCATATTGCCCAAACAAACCACAAAAAAAAAAAAAGATCGTATTATTTCCCATCACGAGTCGTGTATCTCCATGCTTAAAAGTATTTATTTCAACCGACGAAAAATATCCGATTGCGATTCTACGTAATCCATTAGAGCCCACAAGGGTATCTAGATTTTTTTTTCACCTCTACTAATTGCGAAATTTGATTTCTTGAGCATGATCATAATCTTGGATGTTGCTTCCGATTTACGCAACGGCTTTCTTGAATGGGACAGAAATGGTATCCAGTGTCAAAAACCCTAGCCGAGAAAGCCGCATGGGATTTTGCATCGAAAAACGACGTGGACGTGGTAGCAATAAATCCCGCCACCTGTCTCGGCCAACTATTGCAACCCGGACTGAACGCCAGCTGTGCGGTCTTGCAGCAATTACTGCAGGGGTCGAAAGACACACAAGAGTACCACTGGTTAGGTGCCGTCCATGTCAAAGATGTCGCTAAGGCGCAACTTTTGCTCTACGAAACTCCTTCAGCCACCGGTAGATACCTTTGCACCAACGGTATCTATCAATTTGCTGAATTCGCCGACAAAATATCGAAATTATTTCCTCAATATCCCGTCCACAGGTTCGTTTTTCTCCCCCCACCCCTTTTGAACTATGCATCTATATTTTTTTCTTAAAAACTGCGAATATCTGATAAACCGAAGTAAATAGTGATCTCCCAATCGAAAACTCAACTAACCAAGATTGCAATAGTGAACTTTTAGAAGTAGTGAATTCGAAGTTGGCAAAATACGAGACAAGAAAAAATGCTTCTAAATTGTATGTCATGATTTCTATGCCGAAAAGCAGATACGGGGGGCGATACTATTTGATTTGATTTGATTTGATGATCTCAGTTTAATAATTATTTCATAAGTTGGCAGAGCAATAAAAGTTTGTGGATTTCGAGTGTTCATTATTTGGATCGATTTTTCGGCATCTACATGATTTTTCCATCCCCTACATGATTTTTCCATCCCACTAGCATCGGATCTTATCTTCTCTTTCTTTTTCGTTTGCTTTCTTGGCAAGAATCAACTTTCGTAAACAAATTTTTTTTTTATGTGTGTGCATTAATTGCAAATCGGGCCCGTATTATTAGAAAATGCTTTTTCGAAGCAACTTTTAATCTAGATAAGCATCAAACTTATAATGTAATGATGCAATCAACTTCTCTAAATATAACCTTTTTTCATCAACTTCCCATGTGCACTATAGAACCCTTCAACGGGGCATTTATTCTCGACTTGTGACCGTGATCGCGAAATAAACTTAGATTCGTCGACTATCGACAATTTTAAATTGTACTTAATTAGCAAGTTCTTAGTATCTATCAACAATAAATGTATCCTTAATTATTATATAATTACCTGACAAATGATTTATTTAAGTCACTAGTCAATTGTCCTGAATTATTCAGTCTTGCATTGGTGTATGTCAGAGATTGTTCTCATATCCTTGGTTCAGTAATAATAGAAAGGAAAAAATAAAAAATAAAAACAAAAGCTGGCATGATTATTGGCAAGGGCAAATTCCAACCCCTGAAGTAATGCTTAATTACGAAAAAAAACCTTTCTTGTTTGGATAATTACGAACACCCCTAACGTATTCTTTGTCTAAAGAGTTTACCCTCATAAAAACTGAATCAAATAGATTCCTTTTAATATCCATTTTGTAATGACCAGAATATATACCCTCAGGGCTCTAATTGTGAGGTTTGAAAAACAATTGTAATTTCTTTTGTATAATTTTATATTTTAAACTCTTTATTATTAAACTTTTTTTGTTTTACTGTTAACTAGCCGTCGTAAGGGGTTATGTTTAAGGTTTTATATTGCTGAGAGGTCAAATGTAAGAAAATATAAAATTGAATTTATGATGACCCTTTTTCTCTCTTTCATTTAATTGTTTAATCCTACATGGGTATTTTAGACAACCACTACGTTCTATTAGAGTAATTATACAAACATGGACGGGTTTTTCGTAAATAGGCCATACCTCAGGGGAGGTACTTGTAATGGTTTATCCAAATTAATCCCTTTTTTTTGGGTACAGATTTAGGGGCGAAACACAACCGGGGCTCGTTTCTTGCAAAGATGCTGCAAGGAGATTGATTGATTTAGGATTAGTTTTTACTCCAGTCGAAGATGCTGTGAGGGACACCGTGTTAAGCCTTGAAGCTAAAGGCTTCCTTGCGCAGCAAAAGCCATCATCATCAACTTAAAAGTGCTTTTTTTTAGAAATCGGAAAAATCGGCATCTTTTTCGTTGTTTATTCGATGCTATAATGAAACTCCAATAAAATATTTTTATTTATTAATCTAAAGTAGTTTTATAGGCTTCATCTTTGCTGTTAAATCAATTAAAAAAAAAGATGAGATAATCTGATCACAATTAATTACTATGGTGTAATTAACGTATTAAAAGCACGTGATCAAAATGGTGGGCTGATTGCATGGTTTTGTTTTCTGTTATATTGTCACCCAAAACCAGGCAAGTTTAGGTAAAATATTAATGTGTGTTAACCTCTATTAGCCTGTCTTTTAATTTCCTAGAGAGAGAGAGAGAGAGAGAGAGAGAGAGAGAGAGAGAGAGAGAGAGAGAGAGAGAGAGAGTTTATGAGGAGTTTATGAGAGAGAGATTGTTGGTAGATGTAAGAAAAGGAGATTAAAAAGGGTTAAGAGGAGTGGGGAAGATGATGCACATGGAGTGCTCTTTGGCTTTTAGAGAGAGATGAGAGAAGAGAGAGAGAGGAGAGAGAGAGAGAGGAGAGAGAAAGACGTGCAGTAGTAATCATGGAGGTTCTTCTGGCATTCCATGTGCATCTATCTTCTCGGCCCACTTCACATTATTTTACACACTATCTTCTCTCCTAATACAAAACAATCCAACACTTTGTACTTTGCATTCATCAACTCTTAATAAATATCTCTCTCCCCCTCTCTCTCTCTCTCTCTCTCTCTCTCTCTCTCTCTCTCTCTCTCTCTCTCTCTCTCTCTCTCTCTCTCTCTCTCTCTCTCTCTCTCTCTCCATATAATCTTCTTACACACACACACACACATATATATACATCACTCTCAATCTTCTTACAACACACCTTCATTAAAAAGAACAAACCCCCCCAAGACTTGGGGACGTGCCGGAAATATGCGCAGCAGCCCTTCAACTTGCAGTAGATCCTGGTAATCAAAATCGACCGTTTTCTCTAATTTGAATTTAAATTTCTCGACCGTTGATGATTGATTTTAATTTTAATTTATTTTATTATTATTACTATTATTGTTATTGCAGGTCTATAAGCGAGGATTCGTTGAGAAGATACGTGTTCCACGCGAGTGAAAATTGCATCCAAGAACTGCTCTCGGCCTCGGATTCCAACCGGGCCGATAATGAACGTAGAATAAACGTGGTGGACGAAGATGGATGGAAAGTGGTGGCGGTGGATAAAGGAGTCGAGATATCGAAACGAAGATCCGGAACATTCCACACTTTCCGAAGCCGAAGGGTGATCAATTCTGTTTCGCCGCAGCAGTTTATTACCGTGGCTAATGCAATTGATGCTGCCAAGGTTGTTTTTTTTCTTTTTCTTCAACTTAAGTGATCATGTTTCATCTTTTATAATGTTTATTTCATTTAAACCCTTGTGTTATATCAAATTGCTAAAAGACTCCCCCGTTATTAATATTTGCAGAAACCCCCTTATATTGCATTTTTTTAGCATGTAAACCCCCTAAAGAGTGAGTTTTTCAGGGGGCAGTTGCCGAAAAAAATTGAATCATAGAGGGATTCTGCTAATAAAATAACATGGGGTTTTTTTTAGCAATTAGAGAAAATACAGGGGTGCTGAATGCAATAAACGCGTGTGTGTATTTATATATACATGTGCATATATTGATGTTCCAGTTGTTAATGTAGGAATGGGATGGTGATTTGGTGGAAGCTAAGTACATAAAAGACCTTGAAGAAAATTTGAGCATCATTAGGCTGAGATTTGGCGAGAGATCGAAGCCGTTATTCCGTAACAGAGAATTTATAGTCTACGAGCGTCGCGAAACCATGGATGATGGCACTCTGGTAAATAAAACTATTTCAATTAATCAATTCGAATTTCTATTTTCGGAATAACTTCTTTTTTTTTTTCCCTTCTTTTTTTCGAACTAAACCGAACAAAGTCCAAGTGTATAAAATGCTTCTTTTAAATAAATTTACTAATACTAATTATATTTTGTGATATATGTGCATTGAGAATTTAAGATGCTAAATTCGAGAAAATGTATTTCAATTTCAGTGAATCCTGTGCTAAAGATTCTTTACACTGAATGACGAACTTGTTATTATGGATTTGAAATCATCAGCTTGTTCGATCGAAATGCAATTCTTAAATTAATAAATAAATAAATAAAATAATAGGTAGTGGCAGTGGCATCTCTACCAAAAGAAATAGCAGCAGGATTACATCCAAAGCAAAACAATTCAATAAGAGGGGTATTGCTGCAGTCTGGATGGGTTGTTGAAAAGCTTGAACATGATTCTTGCATGGTCACTTACATTGCTCAAGTAAGCTAATATATTATTAAATCAATTTTTTATTTATTTATTTTTCATTAATAAATATGGGGTTTTTTTTAAATTAATAATATTATTATTAATTAATTTTTTTTTTTAATTTGGATTGGCAGTTGGATCCTGCAGGATGGCTGCCCAAATGCTTTGTGAACCGTTTCAATACAAAATTGGTTATGATAATTGAAAACCTTAAAAAACAGGTGATGCCTTGCCCCACTAGAGGTGGTGCAACATGATTATTTATTACTTTTGTATAAAAGTATATGGACCAAAAAGAAAAAAAAGAAAAAAGAAAAGGTGATTTATTACTTCACAATGAATGTTGTGATGAAATATATATAAATATGTGTCATTTTCACTTTGGCAAAAGCTTTAACAATCTTAATAAACATGTCTTGATTTTACGAAAATAAATATTGATAGCCCAAGATAACCCTGTTTACTAATTAATGCATAAATAATGTTAGAAAGTCAATAAAATTATAATTAAAAAATATGTAATTAAAATGACAGATAATATAAAATAAAAAAATATCAAAAGAGATAAATATTGTGCAACACATGAAATACTATTTTTATTTGTCATGATTATACTTTTTGGTCTCAAATTAGTCATAATCACCACAACTTTTTGGATATTATGTATAAACTTTATTACTTAAATATATCCAACTAACGAAAGTAAACATGATTATATAGGTGCACTGGGTGATCGTATAATAGCTGCTTACAAACTATACGAGAGATGTAAATCATACCAAGTTAACCATGTGTGACAAGTTCGATCTAGTGACCGTTGACAATTGAATTGAATTCCGGTCAATTGACACATGCTTACTTGCTCCAACCGTTAGGCCATATCTTGAGGACAAATTAAAAATTAAAAATATGCCATCTTAATTACCTTGTTATTAAAGATGATTTTGTTATAATATCATCTAATTAAACCCTATACACCATCAACATTTCCACACTGGTCATTAATTCTTCCGATTAAACCCCTTTCTTCTCTAAAGTCTGTTAGTTGGGCTTCTCTTTCGTATGGTTCAATTGGGCCTCGCTTGAAATTTAACTTTGCATATCAAATTCAAAGTTTAATATGATAGGTAGGGCCGTGCGCTGGTTGGGTTGGTTAAAAACCAGCCATAAAACCAACCAAACTCATTCAACCAACTTTGGTAAATATTGAAAACCGTTATCGACCCAATTTGTATGGGTTGAATGGTGGTTGATAACTAATTAAATGGGTCGGTTGATGGTTTGGTTGATGGGTCATCCATCTAAATATTTTTAATTTTTTTTAATATTTTATTAGTTGTTACAACACTATTTTTTTTACAATTAAACATGACTAGTTCAACAAAATTCGAATAAAAAATTCAAAAATTTATGGGTCATACATATTCCAATTAAACATAGATTGTTAAACATATAATAATACTCCAAATATTTAGGCCATGTGGCTTAAAATTAAAATAGTTCAAATTACATGATTAGGTTAAATTTATTTCTTTTAGGATTTTGATTAATATTAGATAATTTCATAAATGCAATATAATATAAAAATTTGAAATTAAAAATATTAAACACTTTAAATAAAATTAATAAATAATAAATTAATAAATAAAGTTGGTTGGTCGATATTATCCTACTAGTCAACATTTTAGTATTTTAGAAACCATTATCGACCCAACTATACATGGGTTGGTTGACATTATCAATCCAACTTAAATGAGTTGGTAGATGGTTGATTATCCGTCACAAATTATGGGTCGAAAATGGGTTGGTTGGTGGTTAAAACCGATCCATGCACAACCTAATGGCAGGTGTTAGCCCCTTAGATGGTTACATTGACTATGACTCGACTGTGGCCAAGTCATGGCCGAAAAATGGGTGCCAAGTAAAGGTTGGCACAAGATAGTCACACATTGCCAATGAGTTGACGAGCGTTGGGCAAATATTTGGGGTGTTTATCCGAGAAAACAAGGAACGGTTTGATTCGAGTGTGTACGGTGATCGTAAGTACTTTGATGATGGCACAAGTGAGGAAGTCTCGAATGTTCGACACTTGGCACGAGTGATTCTCGGCAAGTGGCACGAGAGAGTCTCAGCATTCCTCGGCGTTTGGCATGGATGTGGCTCAACAAACGGCACGAGTAATCATCGACAAGACTTTTAGCTGGTATATAACCTTCGACTTTTCTGGTTTTCGTTGTTGATTTTTTTTCTTCTCTTTTTGCAATCCCTTAGCTTTTGCATCAATTATGAGAATAATTCAATCTTTGTTCTTTTCCTAGATTCAAACGCAATAATTTTGTAACTAATTCTTATTAACCAAAAAGAAAAAGGAAAAAGAGACTCATTCGATCATACCAACTGATACGGGCTCAATTGCCCCAGAGGCCCGTTAAGCAAACAAACCCATTAGAAGGCCCAAGCGCATAGGCTCAGACCCATGCCAAGACATGTCATTCCTAAAGCCCCTACATGCGGAGCAGAGGGCAGTTGAATGACAAGACCACACGTACGGCTACAACAACTACGGAAAGCCGATAGTGGTGTTGATAGGAAGAGTGTCCACGTCAGATTTGGAGAAGGGGGAGCTCTCTTCTAAAGACACTAGCACTGTCCGCAACTCCTAAAAGGGGCTCGCCTCCTACGAATAATCAGCTCGGAGGAGTTATGTCAACCCCACGTGGGAGTATGGTTAAAAGAAACAGAAGGTCCCACCACCTCACCTATTAGGCACGTATAAATAGCAGTCATGGGCAAGGAAAAAGAGGTCACATTCTCAATACTCTACTTTGACAATACACTTATTTTTCACGTCTAGATTCCAACTAATTACTTGATCGTCAGAGTGGTAACGCCGAAAGACCATCCCCGACACTCTTTTTTTTGTAGGTCACTTGGGCTAACTCTTGGGCTACTTTTGGGCTTTTTCTTGGACGTCTTTATATCTGAAATGATTTGTGAAGGTACAATTTAATCGTGCAGGCACTTTTTTTTACCCTTCTTCAAAAGTCAAATGGTAAATATTCTCATAAACTCTCTCAAGCTTTTGGAGTTCGATTTCAGATTCGACCGAGACGACAACATGTTCGTGTAATATCACACGAGTACTTGAAGATTCGATAAAAAAACGAAAATGTTACCTCCTGGTCTATATTCGTTGAATCCATTTTAGAAAATGTTGAATATCTAAATTTTTTTGACTTGAATGTTCAAATTCGATTTTTAAAGGATTATAGAGTTTGGTAAAAAAATGTAAAAAGGTAAAAATTTAAAGTAAAAATGTAAAAAATTATGATAAAAAAGTGCATGCACGCCTAAATAACGCCCGCGCATATAGCCACCCCTTTATATTCATCCATCAAATTCTTTCTTATTCCTCGTGTTAGTCATATCACTAACCATAAAGTTTTAGTTTATATTTTATTGAATTGAGTATTGATATACCTAAATGGGCCGGCCCAATGGGCCCTCAAATTTATCTACTAATTAGGCTCACTACACGAAAGCCTAAACACCTTTAAAGTAAGGCTTGGGCCCAACAAAGTAAGCCCAACCCAATCACCGATATATAAATAGACGTTTTACTCATTTGTTAAGGTACGTTTTCATTTTTGACCAACAAGCTAGAGTTTGATTCTCTCTACCATCTCCGCAATCCGTATATCTGACTTGAGCGTCGGAGGGGTTTCCGCCGGATCAACCCCCGGCGTAGTTTACGTGTGTTCATTTCGCAGGGACCTCAGGATCATCAAGTTGTCAAGCTACTGATCCGCTTTGCTCTCCCAGCTCATTTTCTACACTACCCTAGGTGAGCTATATTTTAGCATCATCATTTTGGCGCCGTCTGTGGGAACGATGCAAACCAGATCACGTAGCCAACAAGATCCTCCTGAAGCATCTGCTCGGAGAGAAAATGACACAGCTAATAACCTCCCAGTCCGTGGAGGATCTGGTATGCCACCTCATCCACGCGCCGCGGAGCCACCTCCCCCACGTGCTGCGGAGTCACCTCCCCCACGTATCGCGGAACCACCTCATCCACGTGCCGCGGATCCACCTCGCGAGATTCAGGTGATCCCTCATCGGGACCCACCACTCGCCGATCCACCACTCCCTGCTCCTCGAACGGTTCAAATAACCGAGGACGCGCTCCAACGCATGATAGCAGAAGCCTCAACTCGCGCCGCCACGGAGGCCGTAACTCAATATATCGCCACGATGGGAGCAAACGCTCCCAATGCGATACCAGCGCCAGCTCCACCTGTAGTGCCACCCGTGGCCCCACCGCCAATCCAGAATCAAATAAGTGTCTCCTCCTCTACCTCGGACCCACGGTCCCGAGTGTAGCTATCTACTAATCACAGAGGGGCACAGCCCAGACAGCAGCGTCGGCGCTCACCCCACGAGGGAATGCGTCACCACAGAGAGTCCCTCTCTTTAATGAGGGAGAATGCGAGGTAAACAGCAGAATGTCTCGCCAAAATCTTTTCCCCCAACCAAATAATCTAATGGGTGAAAGAATGCCTGTCCCAACAAGACGCAGTCCCTTCACCATAGACATTCTCAACGAGGTATTACCTCAAGGAGTAAAGATCTCGGGGTTACCTCAATTTGAAGGGACCACCGACCCACAAGAGCATATAGAGAAATTCAGTGCCATGGCGGATTTATATGGCCCGACGGATGCTGCGATGTGCAAAATGTTCCGCACCACTCTCTCCAAGAGGGCAATGAATTGGTTCAACTCTCTACCCATAGGGTCGATTGACACCTTCGCTCGGTTATCAACCCGGTTCACCAACCAATTCGCCATCAACAAACAATATGCCAAGACCCCAGCTCATCTTTTCTCTGTAGTACAGAGATATAACGAAATGCTCCGCAACTACATTAAGCGTTTTGTAGAAGCCGTCCATGAAGTTCCCAGTGTAGAGCAAGACATGCTCTCCGGGATTATACAACAGAACTTGAAACCGGGTAGATTCAAAGAGTCTATCGCCGGAAGACCCCCAGGCAACCTAGAAGAGTTGCTGAATCGAGCCGAAAAATACGTCCGGATAGAGGAAGCCTCTACCCATGCTCCTCCTAAAAGGAAAAGGGAAGATGACCGTCAAGACAATAGGAGGCGGGATGATCGACGTCCACCACTTCCACCTCAAGGTCAGCACTCTTCCTCCTATGCAGAAAGGTTTAGCAGAGCCTCCACGTCCTATGCAGCCAAATGCAAAGCGAGAAAAATCGGATCGCTATTGTCGATTCCATAAGGACAGAGGGCATAATACGGAGGAATGTGCACAACTCCAAGCGGCGATTGAGAGGCTGATCAAACAGGGCCATTTAGGCGAATACATTGATAAGCCTCGAAATAACCGCCGGGATGATCCTCCACGCCGAGATAACAATCGAGATCAACAGCAAAGACGAGAGGATGGGGGTCATCGACGCGACCCAGATAACAACGATAACCAACCTACCCGAGGAATCATCTCCTTTATCTCCGGAGGACCGGCGGGTGGCGATTCACAAAATGCAAGACGCACCCTCGCTCGATCAGCACGCATGAATCAAGAACGTGCTTCTCCATCCGCACGCATCTATCAAATACGAAGACCTGATCATAGCATAGTCTTCAACTCCTCCGACCTCGAAGGTCCAGATGAAGATCATGTCGATGCATTGGTAGTAACAACAACGGTGGCCAACTTCTTGGTTAAGAAGATATTAGTGGACGGTGGGAGCTCAGCTGACATCATGTACCTCCACGCTTTTAAGCAGCTGGGCATAGATAATGCCCGGTTTAGTCCCATCTCCACACCCCTGAAAGGATTCACAGGAGAAGGCATTTTGTCCATGGGAGAAGTGGAGCTGCCCGTTTCTTTAGGGGAAGACCCTTGTCGAATCACAAAACTAATCAAATTCCTCGTCATCGACAAGCCATCCCCCTACAACATCATCCTAGGGAGGCCAGCAATCCATACATTCAAATCAGTGCCTTCCTCCTACCATCAGAAGGGGAAGTTCCCTACTCCCTATGGAATGGGGGAAGTACTTGAAGATAGACGTCTCGCCCGAGAGTGCTATGCAAGGGCCATACGAGAACCTTCCAAGAAGCCTAAACCATCCGGAAGGGGAGACGACACCCAAAAATCCGACAAACGGAAGTGGGTCAACGCGATCATTGAGGATAATAAAGAAATCCTCATCAATGTACCAGACGATAGCATCAAGCTAGCGGCTGTCGAAGAGCTTAAGCTCATAGAGCTCACACCTGGATAAGATTCCAAACTCCTACGCATCGGATCCAATTTAGATCCTGAGATGGAGAAGCAATTAGTCAAATTCTTGCGGCACAATGGAGACGTGTTCGCTTGGAAAGCTCAAGATTTGTCGGGCATCCCCCCTCATGTAGCTCTACATCGGCTTAACGTTGACAAAAGGTTGAAGCCGATCAAACAAAGGAAATGAACATTTGGACCCGAACGCAACAAGCACATCAAGGCAGAAGTGGCGAAACTTCTAGAGGCGGGTCATATACGACCAGTTCAGTATCCTGAATGGTTGTCGAACGTAGTACTCGTTCCCAAACCCGGGGGAAAGTGGAGGTTATGCGTGGATTTCACTGACCTCAACAAAGCTTGTCCTAAGGACCCATTTACTTTACCTAGAATCGACCAACTCATCGATTCAACTTCGGGATGTGAGCTCCTCAGCTTCCTTGACGCTTATCAAGGGTATAACCAAATCTTGCTCGCACCAGAAGATCAAGAGAGGGCTAGCTTCGTCACATACCAAGGCATCTACTGCTATCGAGTCATGCCTTTCGGATTAAAAAATGCGGGAGCCACTTACCAACGTCTAGTGAACGCCATGTTTGCAGATCAGATCGGTAAGAATATGGAGGTGTATATCGACGACATGCTCGTCAAAAGTGTCAAGGTCTCGGACCACCTAACTGATCTGGATCAATGTTTCGCCACCCTGCGAAAATATAAGATGAAGCTCAACCCCCTCAAATGTTCATTCGGAGTTCAGGGAGGCAAATTTTTGGGTTATATGATTTCGCAGCGAGGAATCGAAGCTAATCCCGCGAAAATCAAAGCAATCACCTCCATGGCTCCACCAACATCGATCAAGAAAGTTCAACAACTCAACGGCTGTTTGGCATCCCTGAACAGATTCATATTAAGATCAGCGGACAAGGCTCTCCCCTTTTTCAAGATTTTAATGTTAGAGTAGGTGACCAACAAGCCAACTTGTGGCTGTGGTCTTTCTCTTTTTCCTTGTAATAAAACAATCGTTTTTCGTTCGTAATAATAAAATATTTCATTTGGCATTCTATATCTCTTATCCCATGCAAGCAGCATAGATATAGTCCTAACGAGTTACTCTATTACTGTGAGTTGATCTAGTAGAATCGTGAGATAACTCAGCAATGTAATGTAACTGTTAAACCTTGTTCCTAGTCGATGGGTTACGCCAATAATGAGGATACCGGCCTTTCCCTTTTGAGACTAGCACTTAGTGTATGTGTACTGCGTTTCATCAGTCCTCAATGTTGTGACATCGGCATACTTGAGTGGGTGCTCATACTGGATGAGTTCACTGAACTCCCTCGCCCTAGAAATCTATAAGTGGTTCTCATTCATCGAGTAATAGGTTTCTAAGATATAGTTGTACACCATTAGTCCTTAAGACCCAGACATCACCGTGACTTCACTAGAGGACCGATTGTATCGTGACATGTCCCTGAGTCCCACAGCAGACCACTCCAAGGGCCAACGTTCGTGCAATCCAAAATCTAGTGTGAAGTCTGTGCATTGTAGTAGGGGATTCGAGCGCTTGAGTAGTCATGGATGTCCTGTGTGTTATGACGGTTTATAATCCAAGGAATCTCTGGCCAGAGTTGATAGTGGGGTGATTAGGGAAATGTGTTTCCCTAAGTCACACACGAACGGATTTATAATACCTAGAACGTTCGCACAGTTATTGAACTTTATAAGAGGTCTCGGTGAACCAATGCCTCTAGTTCAATCGGGACATGTGCTGCGAAGGGATCGTACTGTACGCTAACTATATCATAAGGTTCTTGCAGACACTTCACTTGTATCTAGGGAATCATGATGCGTAGTTGCTAGACGCCAATCTTGATTCGTTGGGCACCGATTTGATCGGCGATTAAGTAAAATGAGTTTTACTCTAATCGGGACTCTTGGGAGGAGTTCGTATAAGAACAATGTGTTGTTCGAATCACAAAGAGTTGTGAGCCCACGGCTAGCATACACCTGAACCATTGAGGGTCACACTTCTCGTGTAATACGGATCCTTGATAACAATGAGCATAGGTTAAAATGTTAATCTTTGCAAAGTTGGAGGTCACTATGATTGAGTCCAAGATTCGTGATTGTGGATTACGAGTCGGAATGAACGTAGAGAAAGAGAGACATGCGGAATTTAGTGAACTTTCTAAATTGGGAAGTTTCCTGATTTAGCAGGTCCACTGAAGTGGAAGTTTCCATTTTTGGAAATTGGAAATTTCGAAGAGGCACTCGTATCGACGAGGACTTTGAGCTCGTCACAAATATAATTTTGTTATAATTTTGTGAACGATCGTTTGTTAGAAACGAGGCCGACGAGGGAATGGGCTTAATGTATCATTGGGTCAAGCCCAATGACTTAAACCCACAAGGGTTGAGAACCCTAGTATAAATAGACCTCAAACAAGAGTTTGAGATCAGATTTTTTACTCCAAAAACCCTAGCCGTCAAACCCTAGCCGCCCAAGCCTCTCGGCCGCCGCTGCCCCGCCGCACCGGCGCCGTCCACCGCCGAAAACCGCCGTTTTTCCCTCTTCTTTCTTTCTCGTGTTTCCCTTGTTATCTAACCCCTTTGTATCTAGTGCTACAGTAGGGGGAGATCGATTTATTCGAGGTGAAATCTGATTGGAGAGGAGCTGCTGCCCCGAAGGAATCACCACACCGCCGCAGCACCGCCGCACGCGCCGCTGCACTGCCCACGCGCCGCCGCCGCTGACTCGCACGCGCCGCCGTCGCTTCACCGTCGGACCAGCTGCCGTTTGGTGGTATTCTTGCAGCCCCTAGGAGTGGTATAACGCAGCTTGTACGGGTTTGAGTTCGATTTCGATTCGTCGAAATCTCACGCTACAAGAGGTAATTAAATCGGAACTTTCGTAAATTTAATTCAAACATGTTTGTATGAATTTTTATTTACGAGTATGAGCGATATGTGATTGCGTGTTTCGATTTTGTAATATGATGAACAAGCATGTTTTATATTTTTCGTTTTTACATGTTTTTAATAAAATCGATAATTACCATATGTATGGCGGAAGCGTTAAGGTACGTTGACTATGTGATTAGTTTATGCATGTAATCGAAACTAGTTCGATCTAAATTTTTTAAATTCCGCTGCGTATACATGCACGATCCCCAACAGTTAAGGGGAGGAAAAAAGTTCGAGTGGGATGAAGCATGTCAAAAAGCCTTCGCGGAGCTAAAGCCATATCTCACATCACCACCCTTGCTCACAAAACCTCAGCCCGGAGACACCCTTCTATTATACTTAGCTACCTCAGCTGATGTAGTCAGCGCAGTCCTCATCCGAGATGGAGGAAAATGCCACCAACCCATATACTACATAAGTCGCGCTCTTCAAGGAGCCGAACAGTGCTATTCCAATATGGAGAAACTCGCCCTTGCCCTCATCAACGCAGCCCGGAAGCTTCGACCTTACTTCCAGTCACATCAAGTGGTGGTTCTCACCAATTATCCGTTGAAACAAATACTAAGGAGTCCCAAAACATCCGGGCGTTTAGCAAAATGGGCGATAGAGCTAAGTGAATATGGAATAGAATTCAAACCCCGCCCAGCTATCAAAGCACAAGTATTGGCCGACTTTCTAGTCGAAATGGCCTCAGTAGAAGAAAGCACCTCTCTACCTACTTGGTCCGTCAGCGTCGATGGATCTTCCACTGCCATAGGAGGTGGAGCGGGCATCGTACTAACGAACCCCGACGGAGACGAATTCGAGTATGCTCAACGATTCGAATTCACCGCCTCAAACAACGTCGCTGAATATGAAGCACTGATAGCGGGAATCCGCCTCGCCCTAGCTGCTGGAGCCCGTAAGCTCTTCGCTCCAATAACATCCATGTTGACAAATTAGCTAGGCTGGGAAGCTCCATGGCCAGCATCAGAAGTCGGAAGGTGACGCTCCTCACCTCACCTCAGCCGGAGATAACTTCACCCAGTGAAGTACAGTACACCGAGGAGGATGAACCATGCTGGTTGACTCCAATCCTGAAGTATCTCAAGAAGGGGGAACTTCCAACGGATCCCACTGAAGCACGGAAATTAAAAACAAGAGCCGCCCGCTTCATTATAGTGGGAGAAGAATTGTACAAACGAAGTTTCTCATTCCCCTATCTCAAGTGCCTCGACCCGACCACAGCGAATTACGTACTTAGAGAAGTACATGAAGGTATCTGCGGAAATCACTTGAGCGGGAGAACCTTAGCTCTCAAACTACTGAGGCAAGGTTACTACTGGCCAACGATGCATGAGGACGCAAAGAGATTAGTCCGGAGGTGTAAGCCTTGCCAAGAGCATGCCAATATTCCTCACCTGCCAGCGGCATTAATGCAACCAATTGACAGCCCCATCCCTTTCGCCCAATGGGGAATGGATTTAGTTGGACCATTCCCACCTGCCACGGGAGGGCGCAAATTCCTCATTGTCGCAGTAGATTACTTCACCAAATGGGTGGAAGCTGAACCCTTAGCATGCATCCGAGAAGAAGATGTCATCCAATTCCTATGGAAGAACATCGTGTGTCGCTTTGGAATCCCACGTTCCATTATCTCAGATAATGGAACCCAATTTTGCGGTGACAAAGTAAAGAATTGGTGCCTCGGCTTGGACATTAAACAGTTCTTCACATCCGTAGCAAATCCACAAGCTAACGGCCAGACGGAGGTTACAAATCGCACCATACTCCAACACCTTAAGACAAGGCTTGGAAGTGCCAAGGGGAAGTGGGTGGAAGAATTTCCTAACGCCCTATGGGCTTATCGCACGACCCCACGAGCAGCAACCGGAGAGTCGCCCTTTAATCTAGCTTTCGGCACAGAGGCTATCGCACTCGTTGAAACAGGTGAACCATCTTGAAGAGTCACCAATTATGATCCAACAGCTAATGAAGAAGCTATGCGAGGAAGCCTAGACCTCGTAGATGAGCTACGAGAGATCGCATGCATCCGGC